AAAAAAAAAAAAAAAAAAACAATAGTGATACAGATGATAAAGTTGCAGGTTATGCTAAGTAAAAATATTTTATTCATTCTACAAAACAAAGTCTAACTATTCAAATATATTGTGAAAAATACACTACTTTTTCAACTGTAAAAATTTTTTCTTCTGTGACCACTCTGTAGAAGGAACATAGTTGTTCAAATATGCCCAAGAACTTGATCTAAACAAGGGAGATGATACGGATAAATATCATTGAAGGACAAATAGTATGATAAATATTTTACCCACAAAAAGTGATGGCCAGGGATTTAGCTCAGTGGTTTTACTGCCTGCCTCACAAGCTCAAGGGCCTGAGTTTGATCCCCAGTAAAAAAAAAAAAGTGAAAGTGAGGCAGAGATGAATTATCTGATAAGTTTCCCAACTTTTGCATTGAATTCTAGTGTGGGCAAAGAAGACAGTGGATTCAAAACTTACGTAATATTAGTGGACTTCTTCTTTCCACTTTGATACTTTACTGAAAAATTGGTTGACTTGTTATGGTATCTTAATTCGATATAGATCTAATTTGATATAGATCTACCAAGATATGTGCTTTGTTTCATTGACACAGAAAGAAATTTTACACAAAACTATTTTTGTTATTGTAAAGCCATCATGTTTTCCTTTAGGAATTTTGTCTTTGCTAAATTTTTAATGTCTACAAAAAAATGAATCCTAGACTTATTTTTACTATTATAATTGTATACAGAACATTTTGTAGAGTGCCTACTACACACCAACCGCTCTGCTAATCCTAAGTGTATTATTTAATTCAATCCTCATACCATCCATATTAGAACAGATACTATTATTATCTCTGTTTATAGATAAGGAAGCTGTGAGGCTTAGAGAGAATAGATCACTTGCTTAAAGTCACACAGCTAATAATTAGCGTAGTGAAATATTTCAGCAGTGTTTTTTCACTTCAATACTGTTGATAGTTTGGGATGGAAAATTCTTTGTTGTAAGAGGATTGTACTGTGCATTGTAGGATGTCTAGCTACATTCCTGACCTCTATTCCCAGTTGGCAGTAACACCCCCACACCTCTGCTTTCTTATGATAACTCAAAATAATTCCAGATGTTACAAAATGTCCCCTTGGGGCCAAATCACCTGTGGTTGAAAAACAGTGACTTAAAAATCAGTATCTGCCTAACTAGCCTTACTACCTAGCACTGTACTTGACTACCTTGTTCTAAGATTTTTTATTTTTTAAATTTTTTTGGTTTTATTTTGTTTTATTTGCGGTACTGGGGATTGAAGTCAGGACCTTGTGCTTTTGAGGCAGGCCCAGTGCCACTGAGCTAAATGCCCAGCCCCTAAGATATTTTAATGTTGTATTTACTCCTTATCAGTCCAGAATTAACTTAAGAATTGGATTATCTCCACTAGATAGTTTTATATTCAAGTGCCAAAATTGTCCAACCCAGTAATTCAGTAGACTTTCAATTATTTATACTGATATATATATATCAAATACGCTATTAGGTGTTTATTAGATGCCACACCCTGTACAAGTTGTGTTATTACTGGAAATGAAAAGTTATTCAGGTAATTCAGTGGAGAGCAAAGTTCACAAAATAATAGAGAGTATTTTATACACAGTGTTTCCTCTGTGATTGACTAGAAATTTTGGCTGAATGCAGGTGGAGAAATGAGCTTTTCCTCACAAACCTAGACACCCTAACTGATAGCGTATTTGTTTTTCTCCTTTTTTTTATGCTTTCCTTTCAGGATGTTTGCAATTTCTTCATCTACCTCTGTTCTACTTCAAAATTCTTATAGTCTCTTCTTTTTAATTTTGCAGCTCTGTGGAGGGCAGCTTTGACGTAAAGGTGTTAGATCTAACCAGATGAACAATAGGGAGTTGCTCCAAAAAAGCAAACTAGTCTGTTGTGCAGTTAAACTGCTTCTTGCTCCCAATCCTTTAAGGCCGATTATTATAATTACTTGCAGAGGAAAATTGTTGGGTCTTGGTCCCACTGAGTTCACAAAGACTTTTAAGTAAGAACTTAGCTAAAACAGTCCTTAGAAAGGCAAGGGATGGTATTTGATAGAACTAGTTGTCCAGAGGTTCAGTGAGGACAATGAAAAGTGTGGCAAATTACTACCTTGTATCTTTTGTAATATAGAAAGATGAATCTTAAATATACTGTGGGATAAACTCCTTTGTTTCTCAATTTGTCCAGTTAGTCTCATCCACTTCATGGTTGGATTATTAACAGACATCAGTAAAGTTCATTCATCTGTTCTTGATGAAGCAGAAAGCGGAATCAGGAAACCTAAATATTGTTAGGTGAGCTATCTGACTGTATGCCCTTCATGACTTTGACATTAAAAGAAAATTAAAGGTCAGTCTGTAAAGTAGTGGTTATGTTGTTTTGTGAGATCTAGATCACAGTTGCCTCATGTTTTCTTGGACATTTCTTATGAATTAGATTTAACATTTAAATTGTAGGACAATACAGCAGCAAGGTATATTTACTAAAGCAATTTTAAATATAGAAATGGAATAATGTAATATTTAGAGAAGGAGTCCCAGAGCCAGACTGCCTGTCCCTTACTAGCCTGGAGTCCTTGAGCAAGTTTAATATATAAATATAAAATTGGCATAATTTTATTTATTTATTTATTAAGATAATATCTTGCTGTGTTGTCCAGACTAGACTTGAATTCACTGTGTAGCTCAACCTTGCCTTGAAAATCCTTCTTTTTTTTAGTCTCCTGAGTCCAAGTGCTGAGATTACAGACATGTGCCACCCTGCCTGACTATATAATTTGAATCACGTCAGAGGGAAGTTGTAAATATTAATATATAAAGTATTTAGAACAGTGTGTGGCAGAAAGTGAGCACTTAATTTCATTTGCCTGTTTCAGCAGAATCTTTTCTAATTCTGCTTAAATTTCACAAACCAGAAGTGCACACAATACTCTGGGTGCAAATATGCAATAAACAGGAGTGAATGAGTACTTTTTCTCATTATAATATTAGTTCATACTTACATAGACAGTTTAGCCAAAAATACCAAAATGTTATGTTTTTACCTTTAATCTTTACCCAAATTATATCCTTTTGATGTATGATCTTAAACTTGATGAGAGTGTGTGTGTATATATAAAATTAGATAATGGGCAATACTGTAAAATTATTGGACTTCATTTTTTTCCATTAATATTGTGTAAGAATTGAATGCAGGTGGAGAAATGAGCTTTTCCTCACAAACCTAGACACCCTAACTGATAGCGTATTTGTTTTTCTCCTTTTTTTTATGCTTTCCTTTCAGGATGTTTGCAATTTCTTCATCTACCTCTGTTCTACTTCAAAATTCTTATAGTCTCTTCTTTTTAATTTTGCAGCTCTGTGGAGGGCAGCTTTGACGTAAAGGTGTTAGATCTAACCAGATGAACAATAGGGAGTTGCTCCAAAAAAGCAAACTAGTCTGTTGTGCAGTTAAACTGCTTCTTGCTCCCAATCCTTTAAGGCCGATTATTATAATTACTTGCAGAGGAAAATTGTTGGGTCTTGGTCCCACTGAGTTCACAAAGACTTTTAAGTAAGAACTTAGCTAAAACAGTCCTTAGAAAGGCAAGGGATGGTATTTGATAGAACTAGTTGTCCAGAGGTTCAGTGAGGACAATGAAAAGTGTGGCAAATTACTACCTTGTATCTTTTGTAATATAGAAAGATGAATCTTAAATATACTGTGGGATAAACTCCTTTGTTTCTCAATTTGTCCAGTTAGTCTCATCCACTTCATGGTTGGATTATTAACAGACATCAGTAAAGTTCATTCATCTGTTCTTGATGAAGCAGAAAGCGGAATCAGGAAACCTAAATATTGTTAGGTGAGCTATCTGACTGTATGCCCTTCATGACTTTGACATTAAAAGAAAATTAAAGGTCAGTCTGTAAAGTAGTGGTTATGTTGTTTTGTGAGATCTAGATCACAGTTGCCTCATGTTTTCTTGGACATTTCTTATGAATTAGATTTAACATTTAAATTGTAGGACAATACAGCAGCAAGGTATATTTACTAAAGCAATTTTAAATATAGAAATGGAATAATGTAATATTTAGAGAAGGAGTCCCAGAGCCAGACTGCCTGTCCCTTACTAGCCTGGAGTCCTTGAGCAAGTTTAATATATAAATATAAAATTGGCATAATTTTATTTATTTATTTATTAAGATAATATCTTGCTGTGTTGTCCAGACTAGACTTGAATTCACTGTGTAGCTCAACCTTGCCTTGAAAATCCTTCTTTTTTTTAGTCTCCTGAGTCCAAGTGCTGAGATTACAGACATGTGCCACCCTGCCTGACTATATAATTTGAATCACGTCAGAGGGAAGTTGTAAATATTAATATATAAAGTATTTAGAACAGTGTGTGGCAGAAAGTGAGCACTTAATTTCATTTGCCTGTTTCAGCAGAATCTTTTCTAATTCTGCTTAAATTTCACAAACCAGAAGTGCACACAATACTCTGGGTGCAAATATGCAATAAACAGGAGTGAATGAGTACTTTTTCTCATTATAATATTAGTTCATACTTACATAGACAGTTTAGCCAAAAATACCAAAATGTTATGTTTTTACCTTTAATCTTTACCCAAATTATATCCTTTTGATGTATGATCTTAAACTTGATGAGAGTGTGTGTGTATATATAAAATTAGATAATGGGCAATACTGTAAAATTATTGGACTTCATTTTTTTCCATTAATATTGTGTAAGAATATTGTCTCATTATTATACTATATTATTTTAACAGCGCCATAAGATTTCTTTTTTTTTTTTTTTCTGGTACTGGGAACCGAACTCAGGACCTTGTGCTTGCCAGGCAGGCATGGCACCACTGAGCTACATCCCCAGCCTAATTCCATAGTACTCTATCATATGAATATACCAAAAAGATCAGTATTTGGCCAAAAAAGATTATTCCAGTATTATGTTCACAGGAATGGTAATGCTGAGCTAGCATTGTAAAATGTTAGTTGACATATTATAATCTTTACATAGATTTGTCCCCAGTATTATTCATTGGTGTCTTTTCTTTGTTGTCAGTTCCTGGTATTATAACGTGCTTTTGGCCACTATTTCTTGTGGTTGATACAGTTACTGGTCTCATTCTGTCAGGTTGCAGTAATGTTTACAATGCCTTTTAATGAAGTCAAAGGATATTTACTAGTTTTTATCTGACTGGCCTTTTTTCTTTCTTTTTTTTTTTTTTTTTTTTTTGACTGGCATTTTCTGCCATCTGTTTCTTCAGCTAGTCCTTTTAAGGTGTTAATTTGCCTCTACCTTAGACATTAACTTCCACAATTAAGGTTATTTTTAAAATATCACCTCTAAATACATAAGACTTTTGGAGAACATTTTAGATATAAACCATAAATATGAAAATGTTGACATGTGTTATAATGTTTAATTATTTGCAAATTATCATGTTTAATTATTGTACAGTTTAATATATAAAACTGTATACACATGTTGACAGAAATATTTCTCAAATGAATTGCATTATGTAACAAGTCATTGCCGTAACAGCAGGTCTCAAAAAGATAAAACCTACAGCTAATCCTTAGAGGAGATTCTGCCTTCCTCCCTTGGTGTGCCACATACGTATTCGTCTCCTGTTAATATTGAAATTTCCAGTTCACCATCTTTCTGTACTTGTGCATTTCCTGATCTGCCACTTTATCATTTTATCATTGCTTCCTTGCTTTTACTATTAGCTCAGAATACTATCTAGAATTTTAAGATTTTACTTTGTACTTTCTCAGAGTTAGACCTTAGGAGACCCAGACCCCAACAGAACCTAGTATGAACACTTTCTTTTCAACATTTAGTTATTAAACTCTACCAAAGGGAGACTGTGTTCTATCTTTCAATCCAAACTAAATAAATTCAAAATATAATAATTATTTCTTTCCATCACACAACAATGTCCACAAAATAGGTGGCTTATAAAAAACAGAAATTGGGGGGCCAGGGATTTAGCCCAGTGGTGCTGTGCCTGTCTCACAAGCACAAGGTCCTGAGTTTGATCCCTGGTACCACAGGGGGAAAAAAAAAGAACAGGAGTTTATTTTTCCCTTTCTTGAGTTTGGGAAGCCCAAGATTAAGGGGCTAGCCGATGTTGTGTCTATGAGGGGCTATTCCTCATACACAGATAATGTCTCTGCCTGGGTCCTTACAAGGTGGAAAGCAGTTAGCTCTCTGGGATACTTTATAAGGGCCCTAATTTCAATCATTATAGTTCCTCATGAGATTAACCACCTCCCAAAGGTTCTCCTTCCTATAATACCATCATCTTGCATAATGGTGGAAGGGATGCAAACCTTCAAACTGTTGCTGGCCAGACCAGTTTGTGGATGAATGTGCAATGTGTACTTGCTTCACATTCTTCATGCATTTTTCCCCTTTATATCTACTAGGCTACGAAGTATGATTTTTTTCTTTTGAAATGACACTGCTGTAGTTCGAGCAGTAAAGGGGAAAAACTACACAACTCTTTCTCCAGTGGAACCCTCCTTAGTTATAAAAGCGTTTATAAATTTTTCAGAGAAATATTATGTAAAATTATATTATTTTAATGTTACTGTTTTTATTTTTGTTTATATATATTCCTCACTGTTCAGACTTGCTCTCCAGACATGGATGTATGCGGTAAAGGATATTTAACTTTCCAGTCTTTGCTCTACCCTGCTGATGTTTGGATAGTTACAGTCAGTGTTTGTGTAATTTTTCACGCACAGGTATACACATTCAGTTTTGCATAAATGCTTAATAATGCAACATTCTGAAGACGATTCTACTTGATATTGCAGCATAAAAATGAGATTGTCAGCTTTTTGTTCCCAGGGTTTTCTCCTGAGCATGGCGCATGCTGTGTGATTCTCTGCCAGTAATTGTGAAAGTGCAGTGGGTTAGGAATAGGTACTGACCTAACGTTGGAAAGGACATTGAGAGTGCCATAAATGTAGCTGAAATACACGCTTTTGCTTCTTAGCAAATAAAAATATTATCTTTTTGAAGAACTAGATGTTGGGTATTTTCCTTTTGTTCTAAAAGTGGGCCATTTTTCTTTCCTTAAGACAAATAGTATTAACCTATAGATGAAAGAACATAGTGTCCTCATAATATCATATTTCTTACTAATTGGTATAGCTTCTTTCTGTCAAAAATTCTTAAATGAAAGTGTCTTCTTTCAGTCTGGCCGGGACCTTCAGCAGTATCAGAGTCAGGCTAAGCAGCTCTTCCGAAAGCTGAATGAACAGTCCCCTACAAGATGTACCTTGGAAGCAGGAGCCATGACTTTTCAGTGAGTATAGTCCCAACTTCTTCATTATAATTTAAGTAGGAAAGACAGTAATGAAACACCTTATAAGATTGGTAATAATTTTTTTTAAGTTAAAGATAACTTAAGTACAGTCTTTTCTTGGAAGCAACTTCTCTGGCTCTAATTCTACAAAACTGACTCTTTGTTTAATCTGCTTACAATAATTTTAACCCATCAACCTGTGGAAATAAATTCTGTACTCATCATTCAATAATAAATAAGTACTTTAGAAATATTGTAGATATTAGAGAAATGCAAAGTAAAACTACTTTGAAAAACCATTTTATCTGAGAAAGAATGACTATATTAAAAAATCTAGTAATAACAAATTCTGGCCAGGATGCAGGGAAAAAGGAATTCTTCTGTATTGTTGGGAAGGTAAACTAGTACAAGTACTATGGAAATCAGTGTAGTAATTCCTCAAACACCTAAAAATAGAAATTCCATTTGACCCAGCTATTCCCTTCCTAAGTGTCTTCCCAGAAGAGTTAAAATTATCAGAGATAATGCATGCCCATGTTTATAGCAGCACAATTTATAATAGCTATATCTTGGAAACAGTACACATCCATCAACAGATGAATGGATAAGGAAAATCTAGTTTATACACAGTGGATTACTGTTCTGCCATAAAGAAAGATAAACTTGAGGAATTTGTAGATAAATGTTTTTTGTTGTTGTTGTTTTGTTTTGTTTTTCCTGTACCAGGGACTCAATTTAGGACTTTGTGCTTACAAGGCAGGCATGGTGCCACTGGGCTAAGTCCTGGCCCTTGTAGATATATGTATGCAATTTGAGACCATACTGTTAAGTGAAGTAAATCAGACACACAAGCTTAAGTGTTACATGGTTTCTCTTACATGAGAAATCCAAAGTATGTATATGCAAATGAAGAGCAAAATGGAAGTTAGATATATAGGAAGTAGGGAGAGATTCATTTGGTTCTCCAAATTATCTATTCTGTTGTTTCAAAATTATTTTAATATATAATGCTAATTTATTTCATTTACTAGTTTCTCTTAGTTCATTGAAAAGAAAATTTTGTACTAATATCTTTGTTTCTTTATAAGAGAATCTTTTGTCAGTGTCTTGTACTGAGTAAATACTTTGATGATAATAATACATAGCGTATTAACTATTATTTTTTTCTTACTACTTTATTGTATATTTTGCTTTATTGTTTCATAAAATAAAAAGAAAAGAAATATTGTGGAACTAGATCAATACTCTTGCTCAATTTTTTACTATCTTGAACAACTCATATAACTTTCCCAGTTATACTTAACTTCCCTCTATAAAATAGGGAAATAATCATAGAAGTTTTGTAAGGACCTTAAGGGAATCCATATCTATTACTTAGCATCTTGACTTGGCACATGGGGAATAGTCAATGAATACTACTTATGTAGGGAAAAAAAATGTAAGGACTTAGAAGTATCTCAGTCTGTGATTATAGAAATGTGTACAACTGAGAGAAGGATCAAAGGAACTGTTGCATTTTAAATTCTCTACAAGTAACTGGTATTAAGTTTTTAAGTACATGTCAAGTTGGAACCTGATAGGAAGGACTAAATGGGAGAAGAGTACAAGAAGAACATAGGAAAATAAAAAAGGATCAGCTAATTTCTGCCATTTTAAGGACTCAGATAATAAAATACTTAAGTCAAAGAGAAGCTTTGCTGGGTTTTACTGAAAGAAAAAAAAATCTGCTTAATGGGGAAAAAAAAAAGTAAGTATAGAAAAACAAAACTGAGGCCTGTTGATTAAGAAAATCATAGATACTAGCTGGGCATGGTGGTGCACATCTGTAATTCCGGTACTTGGGAGGCTAAGGCAGGAGGATCGCCTTGAGTTCCAGGCTAGCCAGCACTATATAATGAGTTCAAGGCCAGCCTGAACTAATAGTGAGACCCTGTCTCCAAAAAAGAAAAAAAAAAAGATAGATACTACATTTTATAATGTATTAACTTACATATTATCTGAAACATTTTCTACAAATGTCATTTTCAACACCAAAAGATATAGCTATTTTTCTGGGCATGGTGCTGTGCACCAGTAGTTATAGCTGCTTGGAACTCTGAGGCTAGAGCTCAGTTGAGCATGGGTGTTAGAGACTAGCCTGGGCACCATAGCAAGAGCCTGTTGGGAGGTGTGTGGGGGGGAATTAACTTGTATAAATATGTATTGTATATATTTATAGATGCATTTATATAGTACAGTTGGTCTTCCATATCCATGGGCTCTACAGTTGTACATATACATGGGTGCTGCACCTGTGAATTCAACCAACCACAAAGTGAAAACATCTGGAAAAAATTTGTATCTACTCAGTGTTTTTCTTGTCATTAGTCCCTAAACAATATAACAGCTATTTATGTAGCATTTATATTATATTATTATAATTAATCTGGAGGTGATATAAAGTATGCAGAAGGAAGTGCATAGTTTATGTGAAAATACTGTGCCGTAGTATAGAAGGGACTTTAGCATACCTGGATTTCTATATCCATGGGAGTTGTGGAAACAAGGACCTCCGTATCTCTCCCGTGTGCTAGGGAAGAATAGACCTAGGAAAGTTCTCATGGAATTGACAAGAGATGTTCTTCTGCCTTTTCCCTTTAGGACCCTCATAATGTCCTATATTTTACTACCACCAAAGAGCTATTTATTAAAGGTTTTTTTTTGTCAGACCTTGTACTTAATTTTGCTTTCAATGTCCATGCCTTTAAGTAACCTTATCCTCTTACAGGGAGAGAGAAAGACAATATTTAAACCAGTATACTATACTTAGCAGTATTTAAACCAGTATTCTACAATACTTTAGGAACAAGAAATGCTATAATCCAGCCAGGCATGGTGGTGCACACCTGTTAATCCTAGCACTCTGGGAAGCTAAAGCAGGTTTGAGCTCAGTCTGAGCAACTTAGCAAGACCCTGACTCAAAATAAGAAATAAGAGAAGAACTGGAGACCTAGCTCAGGGCAAAGGCCTTCAATTCAATCCCTAGTACCACCCACAAAAAGCTATAATCTAGTGTAAGTAAAATGCTTTGGAGGAGAGAAGGCGGCAATAAATTTCCATTTGTAGTGATGAAGTTTGAAGAAACGGGATAGAACATACAAAGAAGTTTTCACAGAAAAAATTATAGTAGAAGTGAGTATATGAAAATGTAAGGATTTCTCTGTAAAAGAGCATTGCAGGTAGAGATAACAAACAGAATTAGAGATTTTTTTTAAGAATAGCATGCTAGCCGGGCATGGTGGTGCACACCTGCAGTCCTAGCACTTGGGAAGCTGAGGCAGGAGGATCGCTGTGAGTTTGAGACCAGCCTGGGCTACAGAATAAGTTCCAGGTCTCTCAACCAC